CCAGAGGACCTACTTATTTTTTTCTTTTTGATTTTTTTTTCTACCTGGATTACTGAGATGCATCAGGACACTTATCAGATACTGTTTAGCTTAAAMCTTTGCACTTTCTTTCTTAGAATGGATACAGTGAACATTTTCTAAATATTATTATTTTTGTTGTCTCCCAGGTGACTGAGACCCGAACTGGACCTCTTGGGTGTAGTAACTATGATAACCTCGACTCGGTTAGCTCTGTGCTTGTTCAGAGCCCTGAAAACAAAGTCCAGCTGCAAGGTTTGTGTAGACACTTTTTTTCCTGTAATTCACAGTATGTTTTTCATCTCAAAGTTTGAGTACATAAAGAAAACAGCCGTAACTGTTAGGCATACAAACACAACGATTTATAGATTTTATTAAGTACGTTCTCTGCCCAGTCAACGATATATTGCCTCCATTCCCTCACCGTCACTCCCTAAGTGCACATTTTGATGACGGTGTTAAAGCCCAGCTTGATTTTACAGGCTTGCAAGTGATCCTCCCAGACTACTTGAGGGAAAGTTTCGTGCAGGCTGCGCTGAGCTACATAGCCTGCAATGGAGAAGGCGAGTTTGTCTGCAAAGACAATGACTGCTGGTGCAACTGTGACCCCAAGTTCCCGGAGTGCAACTGCCCTTACATGGACATCCAAGCCATGGAGGAGAGTTTGGAGCGGATCACGGAGACGTGGGGGATGCTCTATAAAGAATTTGAGGAATCAGGTGAGGAAGACTTGTAAAAATGTAATGATTTTTTTTCTTTCCTCAATGCAGGAAAATCAAACTTCGACGTATAAATCAGTTATATGAGAGAGGGTTGAGATGAATTCACGTCTTTTATCTGGACCATTAAACCGGATTGCGAAACCAATATGTATATATCTCCTTACTCTATGATTTGTTGTTTATCTGTAACAGCGAAGTTAGAGTAGTGGATTCAAGCTCACTATCTGCATAAAGCAAATTAACAACATAACATAACTGGATTTAAAAGAAAAGGAACAGAAAAAAAATAAACCCTTTCAGCTCAAGCTACAATAAGTCCGGAGCAGATTAATCACCTATAAAACCCATTTATTGCCGGTCCAGCTTTTCATATCACCAGGGAAACAGAGGTTGAATGGAAGCTCTTAGCACAATGTTTAGCTATTATTGCTGCACTCGGTCACACTGACTTGGTGATTATTACTCAGGTGAAACTGAAATGGATGTCTCTCTTTTGCCCAACTTTTCAGATTTGCATTATCCTGAATTATTACCGAGAGCAATTACCTTCAAAGTTTATGTTTTAATTGCTGGATGTGAAGCAAGGCCAGGAATGTGTCTGGACTACAGACACCCGAAAGCGTCATAAATGTGTCCTTCAGCAAGTCGCAACTTACTGCTTTATCAGCAGAAGATGCAAGCTAGTTTTACCATTAAATGAGAGAGAGGTCAGGGCTATGGTGGGTTTTATTGTTAAACTGCCAATATATGGTATTTACAACCTTCATGCAGCAGCAAAAAGGGTTTTTGTGAAGATATATTGGTGTATTGATGAGCTTCCTAGTGTGTCAGGGTTGTTACAAAGTGTTTCAAGTCTTGCAGTCATACTGCAGTGAGTTATTTGTTTTATAGGGACTCCTCATATGTGCATATATGTTGGTTGAAAGGTGATCTTTATATATTTATATATGTTTATAGATGATTGTGCCACTTGAGCAATACCAGTGTAAAACCTGCTCTATGATTTAAAATGTGGAAATAAATGCTTTAAAGCAGGGGTTCTTAACCTTTTTGACCTCGGGGCTCAATTTGTTGAACATAAAGTGGCACAAGGCCCAGTCAGACATTACCAATGTATGGATCAAAATGATAATTATTCTAAATCTAAATCTTGGTTTATTTATTTATTTTTTGTATTTACATCGTAACTAAACTATAGGGGTGCAACAATACATGTACCCGTATTGAACTGTATCGAACCGTATCGAACAATACAGATTTTAAAATTTTACTTTATCAACTTGTCAAATGAAGATGCTCTGTGTTAAAGGATCAGTGGATCTGTGTTCGACTACTCCACCTAGGCTGTATTTTTGAGTGCAGATCCACTGAGAAACTTGCTGTTTCAGCAACATTTAATTTAAAAGCTGTACTTTTGAGGTTAAACAAATGTTCATAATATAAATAAATTACAAGTTAAAAGGGGCATGGACATTTCTCTGTTTTGTATTGAAAAAATATCGAACCGTGTGACTAAAGTATCGAACCGAACCGTGAATTTCCTGTATCGTTGCACCCTACTAAACTATCCTAACTAACATAACTAAATTAAATTCACTTACAGTTTAAAAGTAAAACTTCTATCAAATAATGACAAGACATGATTGTGACAAAAAAATTATATTGTAAGCTGCCCATAACAATCATTTGAACAAATACAAAGGTCAGTCAACAGATCCCTCTGGCTTATCAGCACAAAAATATTTATTTTTTAACATAAGCAATAACAAAAATAGACAATTCAAAAAATAAAATTGTGGGCATTAAATAAATAAATTAAAAATGTTATATATATATATATATACACACAAACAATAACAAAAATAGACAATTCAAAAAATAAAATTGTGGGCATTAAATAAATTAAAATGTTTAATGTTTCAAATTTTAAAAAAATGTAAAAATAAATTTGATTAAGTACAAATGAAAATATAGCCTTTTTAAACTTTTGCAACCAGAAGCTGCTCTTAATAATAGTGACAAACAATAACAATAGCTTTTTGACAAGTTTAAAATTTCTTTAAAATACGTTCAAAATTTTTTAAAAATAAACTACAAAAATTAATTTAAAGTGCAAATTAAAATATAGTTGTATTAGCAACTGTGATAATGTTTTGAACTTTTAAAATATTACATGGTAAAAACAGAAGCTGTACTTTAGTCGAAAAACTTGGGCATTTTTTGATGAGTTACCTTCATTTTTGCTTCTACTTTTCATTAAAATAGGTTTCCATTCTCAGCAGGTTTTTAAGGTTCTTCCTCTACATATTAAAAAAGTTGTTAAACATCTGAGTGGCACACTACTGCTACTAGTGGTGCGAAAGTGTATTGCACCTTATTCAAATTCAATGCAGTCCCGTGGCCCTCTGCGGCCCGAAGTTAAAAACTGTTGTTCTTTTGAGGCCCTCAAGGTGGCGCTCGTGGACCACAGGTTAAGAATCTCTACTTTAAAGCAGGTTTTTTTTAAATATACAAGCGTAAACCACTCCTGAGATAGCAAACATACAACAGTTTTTTCGTCCTTCTTTTCATTTCACATCCTGGATGACTGAAAATGTACAGCAACAGATGATGCTAAATTAGCATTGGACCGTGTTGATACTAATGTGTTGGAATTGATATTCTATGTTTTATTTCATCTTAAGCTCAGTGTTCTGCTCCAAAAATAAAAAGCTGCGCTGCAAAATCCATCAAGAGGCCAGATTAAATGTGAACGCTGTACCTAACAAGCAGGTCAGATGATAATTTAATCAATTGTGATTATACAAGAACACAAGAATCACACAAGCTAACAAATGTAGCCTGTGTGGCTACTTCTTCAAACAAAGCCCGCTCCGTGTGACAACTTCCTTTGCTCAAAACAGGTTGTCTCTGGCACCTGCTTCGGATGTTATCATCCATTAAATGGATGTTATTAGCCATTATCAGTCCCATAGAATGGCTTCAGACTGTCAGCTGGTTAATATGAGGCATAAAGCCACTAAGGTTAATTTTAGAGAAATTAAAATGGGCTACGATAAAGTAGACTGGATACCGGCGGTAGCAGATTTTTGCTTTCCAGTGTATATGGCACTGATAACCCACTTAGGGGCACTGTTGGGACAGTCTGAAGTCATTCTATGGGACTGATAACGGCTAATAACGTCCATTTAATGGATGATAACATCCGAAACGGCACCTGCTTCGGATGTTATCATCCATTAAATGGACGTTATTAGCCGTTATCAGTCCCATAGAATGGCTTCAGACTGTCCCAACTGTGCCATCTAGCAGGTTATCAGTCCCATAGAATGGCTTCAGACTGTCCCAACTGTGCCACCTAGTGGTCATACTTAAGTCTAAAGGATAAGATATCCAAGCAAAAAAAATCAAATCTAAGACCAGCAGTGTGAACAAATAATTTTTTAACTTCCTGATTTACGTCACCCCCACCCCCCCTTTAAAAACCACTGTCGACCCCTAGTGGAGGTGCGCCCCACAGTTTGAAAACCCCTGCTTTAAACCATGGCATGTTGTACACACAAGACAGAAACATCAGTTTCAGAGACTTCATTTCAAAGTTTTGTATCCGTGCAGATGCAAATTGTAACAGCTCACACAGCGAACTCGGGTGTCTTCTGTCTTGTCCCAGTTTCCCAGCCCTGGTGTGTAACTTTGGTTTCCAGACGATAAACAAACCAACAAACACATGTTTATGCAAGATTCCCTGAAAACAGATAAAAAGGACTTGGAAAAAAAACATGGATGTGATGTTTGCTGTTCTAATACTACATGTTTGTAGTTCAGATAAACTATATTGTTACACATGCTGTTTTTATTTTARTGATTGAATTTTTTTCTAACTTTATCTTTAAGGTTAGTGTCTAAGTCTTTTGCTTCTTTCAGAATTTACTTTAGTGAAAAACTTTCTGATTTAAAAACTTAGAAATCTGAATGGCTGACCATCTGATAAAAAAAAAAACCATCAAATCAATTTGAATAACCTGCTTTATTCTTTCAATCCGTTCAAATAGCCCGCTCTGCTGTTTCCCACTTTGAACGGGATGTTCTGAGAGTTCCTCTGATGAGGCCGACCCTGATGCTAAATAAGTCTTTCTCTGCGATTACAGAAGAATTCAAGGCCTTCTATGCCAGGCTGCCCCAGAGCRACTTTTTGAACGTGTCAACGATCCAACACTTGTGGTCCTTGGACAGCCTGTTTCAGTGGCGATATGAGCAGCTGGAGAACAGTATGCACATCCTYTCCAAACGAGCCCAGAGAGTCATCTTCAAGCTCTTCAGTCTCAGTAAAAGATGTCACCGACAACCCCAAGTCCGCATTCCACGAGAGCGGTGAGAAAATGTTTTCATTCCCTTTTATCATTGCTGTTCATTTACTTTAAACCTTTACTTTTAAARATTGTATTTGATATATTGCTAWWTTTTATAACATCCTTTTAAAAACTCTTTGCTTGTGTTAGTCCMGTAATTAYATTTTAGTTAAAACTTTTTCAGGTCAAACTGCGATTTTAGGCAGTTTTATCGCTGTGCAAAATGAATTCTATATTTGTTACCAACCTCTTGCAAGACTTTGGCATTTGTCACCCACCACTGTTGTGTAAGAAGTCACAACTTGCAATTTATTTTCCCCCAGAATAAATAAATAAATAGTCATCCATGACAGTTGCAAGCACACACACAAAAAAAAGCTGCCAGTGCTGCAGCAACACTTTACTTGTCACATTTTCCCCCGTTTGTGAATAGTTTCTGTAAAGAATTACATAACTGAGTTATACTTGTGCCGTTTTTACTAAAATATAGAAAAGAGAATCAAACTGTTTTTTATGTTAATTAAAAAAGAGGTCAGGCAATTATTTGATTTTACTTTTACTTCTTTATTTTTATTTAGGCAGGTAATCAAATTGAGACATGTAGTCTGACTTACAAGAAAACCAGTACCAAACCCAGTGGTTCCCAAATGTTTTGCCTTCTGACCCACAAAATATCCATGGCAAAAACTTGTGACCCCAAATATTACTGGTCTGAGTACATGAACTTCGTTAACTCTAAAAACACAGGCTTTTTGACAATCTAAACAGCTTGTATGAAAATACAAATACTTATTTATACTTATTTTGTGTTTTTGTCATAGTTATAGGGAAAATATTACATAAGCAATTATTTTATTACCCTTTAAATTGATTTCTGGAGATTATCCAAGGTGCTTCATGACCCATAATTGGGTCCCAAGCCCAWCTTTGGGAACCAAAGTGCACTGGTTCCCAAACTTTTCAGCTTTTGACCCACAAAATAACAGTAGCAGAGACCTGAGCCTACAACTATTTTTGGATGATAAACATTTGTATCAGGTCAACTAAACATGGGCATAGTAACAATATTTGTTTAATACTACATTTATCCATTTTAAATACACTAACCTCACTCCTTTGTAACAACTAAGGCAAAAATGTAATTAATTCTGAAAATATTTTCAGGACCCCATCTTGATGTTTCGGGAACCCACCTTGGGTCCCGACCCCAAATTTGGGAAACACTGAGTTACACAAAGATCATAAAACATCATGTTAACATTTAATGGAAAGCAGAGTAAAAATAAACAACCTAAGAGGAAGAGCAGGTTTAAAATGATTTTTTTCAAGATGTATTTYAAATGTCACAGTGTGATCAAAGTGAACCATTTCAGTTTTTGCTGCGATGAATTCCAAAGTGACGGAGCAGAATAAAAGGAGGCCGTTTTCTTTAATTTGTCTGTTATTAAAGGGGACATATCATGCAAAATCCGCTCTTTAGACATCAAATGCATTTTGTTGTGTAAAAAAAGAAAAAAATCATATAGGTCTTCTGGACGGGTTCTTCTCTAATTAAATGTTTCGTCTCTTCTCCAAGAGACTTCTTCAGTCTGAGAGTTTCAGGCAAAATTCAGGCTTTTAAGCCCTGCCTCCGTGTGACTGATATTCACATGACATGGCTAACACATTATGGCAAAGGCTGGTTCACCCCAAAGATCTGGTGCCCCGGCACAAACAGCAATGTTGTTTATGCTGTTAAGTGCCAGGA